GCTGCAAACAGACTCAGGAGTGATTCCAATCTGACACCTCCCCCTACCCAGCCCCCACCAGTAATGAGCTGGGACCTGCCCTTCCCCCGAGAGAGCGGGGTGAGGGGCAGAGGAGGCTTTCTTGGGTATTTTTTTTAGCTTCAAAAGCCTCCTTTCATTATCATCATCATCATCATCATCATCATCATCGCAATTAAAAGATCACATTTATTGAACACCTACTGTGTCCCAGGCACTGTGCTAAGTCTTTTTCATGTATCCCATCATTAATCCTCACCTACAAACCTTAAGCCTACATGGGAAGTAGTATTCTTACCTCCGTTTTACAGATTAAGAAACTGAGGCTCAATCAGAGTAAGTGACTTGCCTAAGGTAGGGCCCACATGTGGACCCGGCACTGTCTGACACCCTGCTTTTGGTACCGGACTTCTGCCCCACCGAGAACTCCTTCTGGGAGGCATGTATGTGTGGCCTCAGGGCTGGAGCTGAGTGGCGAATAAAGGCAGTGCACCCAGTACGCATCCTTGAAGTTCAGAATTGGGAAGAAAGACATTGGTAGACTGAGTCAGTGGGACAGGGACAAGTAGGATCCTGGCCTTGCCGCCAAGCCTCCCTGTCTGCTTTCCCTGCTCTCCGCTTCCACACGTGTATACACTGAGAAGGGGCCAGGAAGTTCGGTGGAGGAGCAGGAGGAGGGACCTCCAGCACTGTTCACTGCCTGGGGAAGGGGAGGCAGAGGGGTTCTGACTGGGGATGAGGACTGAAGAAGTGGGGAGGGGTTGCTGGGAAGAAGACCCCTGCCTCACAACCCCAGGAGCGAGGGGCTGAGCGGCTCTGCAGTGGAGCCCCGTGTTTGTAAACACCATTAATCAGGGATTAGCAGATGGGCCTGCTAATTGCACCTGTGGAAGTGAGAAACCTCAAGGTTGATTACATTTACAAACTGTGGGGATCCCTGGCATCTGGCCCTGCAGGAGTCGGTGGTGGTGGTGGTGGTGGTGTGTGCGTATGTGTGTGTGTGTGGGGGGGGGGGGGTGCTGTCTAATTTAGGACCCCAACCTAGGGGGACGGGGATTGACAATTTAGCCTCCTGCCAAAAAAATACTCCAGGCCTGCAGCAGGGATCTGAGGTGCCAGCCTTGATTTAGCTGCTCTGAGAATACCAAGTCAGTGCCAATCCTTCTTAGACCCTTTCCGTCTTGGCATCTCAGGGTCTTGGAGTCCTGACAAAGGGGGCTCCTACAAATGTCATTCCAACCCCTCTCCTCCCTCAACTCCTTCCAGCAGTTCCCAGGGGTAAATCATTGTGCACTGCAGCTGAAGGGGGCCAGAGCCTACGGGAAAATTGAGGCCAGGTTGGTTGGGAAGCACAGCCCAGCGCCCTGACCTCTAGATCTAGCCCTAGAGGCTTCGAGGAGCAGCTACTGTGCTCCCCCAGGCATGGGGCTGAGAGTTTTACATGTATGATCTCTTTCAATCCATACCACCATCCTTTGAAGTGGACACCATTGTCATCCCAATTTTATAGACAATGAAAACTGAGGCTTGGAATTTAAGGGACACGTCCACATTAATACTTCTAGCAAGCCACAGAGTTGGAACTCAAAGCAAGCACTGTCTAGCAGCCAGGCTCCTGCTTTTAACCAGCACTGCTCTCTCCTCTGACTTCATTCCAACTCTGCCCTGCAGGGGATGGACCCCCACCCAGCCCCTTCACACCCATAGCCACAGCCTCCCCAGCTCCTGTGTACTTAACCCACGCTTGCTGAGCAGTGTCCACTCCGTGTACAGGCACCGCGCCAGGCACCAGAGGCTGCTCAAAGGAGAATCAGACCTCACTCTCCTCATCCTTAGGACCTCAGACCCTCCCTCTTTGTTGGGGGGACTGCCTGTATACCGGAAATAAGCACACATCTATGTGTGCATGGCCTGTAATTTATAGCCTCAATCCCCTTTGGTTTAAGTGAACCTGTCTTCCCAGAGGCCAGCCAGCCTGCTGCCCAGGGAGTGAAGCAGGGAGAAGCCCCTTGTACCTGACGAAGCCCAGGAGAGTCTTCCGGATGGCCCAGACAGGGAAAGCTGATGAACAGCATGCCCAGGGCAGGTTAGATCGGGTTCCAGCCACCATGGAGGAGTCTGTGAGGGGTGGGGTACCTGAGTAGCCCCTACTCCAACTTCTAAGTTCCATGTTGGGCTTGGTTCTAGAGAGCAAGCTCAACTCTGCACCCCATATGTGGGGAGCACTGGGACGCCTACATTCATTTTCATCAAGTGTATTAGGTTTCTCCAGAGAAACAGAACCAACTGTGTGTGTGTTCAAGAGATTATAAGGAATTGGCTCAGGCACTGATGGAGGCGGGCAAGTCTCAAGATGTGTAGGGTGAGTCAGCAAGCTGGACGCCCAGGAGAGCCGATGGTTTCATTCCAGCCTGAGTCTGAAGGCCTGAGAACCAGGAAAAACAATGGTATCATCTCCACTCAAAGGCCAGAACGCTTGAAATCCAGGAAGAGCTGATACTTCAGGTCTAGTCTGAAGGTAGGAAGGCTTCTCTGACTTGGGAGAGGTCAGACTTTTTGTTCTATTCAGGCCCTCAACTGAATGGATGAGATCCACTCACATTAGGGGTTTGCTTGACTCAGTCTACCAATGTAAACGTTCATCTCTTCCAAAAACAGCCTCATAGAAACATCCAGAATGTTTGACCAAACATCTGGGCAACCCATGGCCCAGTCAAGGTGATACAGAAAATTAACCATCACATCAGAGTCTGTATTATTGTGTGCTAGTCCTGGGGTGCAGTGTCCTCTGGTTTACAGAACATCTTTTACTGATACTCTCTCATTTTATTTTTATAACTTCTGCTGAAAAGGAAGGGGACAGATAGGGCTGGTAATAATGGTACTATCCCCAAGACGAGGAGGCTGAGAAGCCATCTAAGTGGAAAGCCACGGAGCCAGGACTCGAATGAGCACCTTCCAGAACCCGAGGGACAGATGAAATCTCACCCTCACCTAAACTTTCAGGCATGAGCTCAAAAGCACAGGTGTGCATGAGAAGCAGTTTCGTGGACATGAGTGGGTGGCTCAAAGGCCACTGACTCTTGAACCTGGCCACACAATGAGATCAACTAAGTAGCTTTAAGAAATACTGGCCAGTAGGCCAGGTGTGGTGGCTCATGCCTGTAATCCCAGCACTTTGGGAGGCCGAGGTGGGAGGATCACCTGAGGTCAAGAGTTCGAGACCAGCCTGGCCAACATGGTGAAACCCCATCTCTACTAAAAATACAAAAAATTAGCTGGGTGTGGTGGCTCACGCCTGTAATCCCAGCTACTCAGGAGGATGAGGCAGGAGAACTGCTTGAACCCGGGAGACGGAAGCTGCAGTGAGCCAGGATTGTGCCACTGCACGCCAGTCTGGGCAACAGAGCAAGACTCCATTTCAAAAAAAAGAAAAAAACCAACACATGGCTCCTTCTCCAGAGATTCTGATTTAATCAGTCAGGTGCCTCTGGGCTTCTGAAATATTAAAAATATCCTCCTCCTTGACCCCAATGACAAGCCAAAGTGAAACATCACTACACTAGGCGCTTGGCCAAGAACGAAGCAGGGATGGGTCAGAGCCTGTGTGGCAGTCAGGGACAGGGAGCTCAAGCGGGACAGATGCTGATCAGTGCAGTTTATGAAGGAATTCTGTCCTCTTTCTTGAGAGGCGTAACTTTGACTTTAAAAAGATCTTAGGCCCTTTTTAGGCCAGGCACGGTTGCTCACCTGTAACACTAGCACTTTGGGAAGCTGAAGCGGACAGATCACCTGAGGCCAGGAGTTTGGGACCAGCTTGGCCAACACAGGGAAACCGTATCTCTACCAAAAAAATATAAAAATTAGCTGGGCGTGGTGCACATCTGTAGTCCCAGCCACTCAGGAGGGTGAGGCAGGAGAATCGCTTGAACCTGGGAGGCAGACGATGCAGTGAGCCGAGATTGCGCCACTGTATTCCAGCCTGAGCAACAGACTGAGACCCTGTCTCAAAAAACAAGGAGCTTAGGCCCTTTTTAAACAATTTCAAGTGTTGCTCTAAACTGGCATTGCCGTTAGAATTCTGAGGAAAATCCATTGCAGATGGATTCCAGAGAAAAGGGGAGTACGATTTATTGAGCACCTCATATATATGAGGCACTGGGTTCCTATTGCCCTCCATATTCTCCCAACAATCCAGGAAGGTAGGATTATTCCCCTTTCGCCCAGAAGGGCACTGAGGCCCAGATGGGTAAGGAGCCTGCCCAAGGTCATATAGCAGTCAGGACTGCAATTTCGGGGTTGCTATCCTCCAAAGCCACGCCCCAGGAGGGGAGATTTTTGTCTCTCAGAAGCCATTTGGCAATGTCTGCAGACATTTCTGGTTTCACAATGGGGGGTCATGCTACAGGTATCTAGTGGGTATAGGTGGGGGATTCTGCTAAACATCCTACTGTGCACAGGATGGCTCTCACAACAAAAACTTACCTGGCCCAAAATGCCAAGGGTGTGCAAGTTGAGACCACCTGCCCTAGTGGTTCTCAGCCTTGGCTGCACGTTAGACCAATGGTGGTGCTTTCGAAAGCTGATGTCAGGTGGCGGCACGCCCATCATGTCAGACTCTCTGGTGTCAGTGTTGGGTTTTTGTAAAGCATGCCAGGTGGTTCCAATGTGCCACCAGGACAGAAACACTTCTATGTTCCTCACACTGCTGGCTCCTGCTGCTTTCATGGGACCCGAGGGCAGGAGCGCCAAATCTGTCTCGATTGTACAATCAACGGCAAGCCTGCTCCCAGTTCCTCCCCTGGAGGGGAACCGACTCAGTCACCCATGGGGGGCCCCGTCGGGTGAGAGGTGTTTGCTAATTTCCCCTCGCCTCTCACGGGGCTGCAGCCAGGAGTCTCCCCACAAGGAGGCTGTGGAAGCTGACTAAAGACTGGACTGAAGAGCGAGGCTGCCACCTAAAGGAGGAATTGGCCAGAATCTCCCAGGTGCTAAGTGATGTTTTATTCGAGCCTCACAACAACCCCGTGAGGTAGGTGCACAGTCCAGAGGCACAGAAAGATGAGACCTGTGCTCAAGGCCCCAGGGTGGGGCCGTGTGTAGGCCTGACGTGTGCACTGTCTACCCCACATCAGGGCCCTGCCCTCCACACCCCACATTCTCACACACACATTTGCCACAGGCAATGACTGGTTCAAGAGGAACGGGTCCCCTGGGCTGGGCTGCCTGCCTCCCTGCAGATGTCTAGACTTCCCCTCAACTTCCAGACAGGGCCTGGGAGGAGAGTCCCTCCATGCTAGGCCATCATGGCTTCCCATGGAAATTAACAAACTACCATGTCCTACTACAGGTCCAACATCACAACAAGAAACAGCTTCCTCTGGTCTCCACCGCAGTCCCCTTCCCCACGAGACCGTGGTCAATAAACATGGGCCTGGTGCACACTCAGGCAGAGGCTCCTGCACACTGGAGCAGGCGGAGGCAGGTGCGGCCGTCCCTGACTCCAGCATGTGAACACTGTGGACAGTCCACGTCAGCTCTCATTTTGCCTCTCTTTCTCTGATCCTGAAGACAGCCCTGGGTGCTGAGCCACGCTGAGTCCTTCAGACCTGGCTGAGGGTTCTTGCGGGTCTTGGAGAAGTTGCCTTCTCTCCCCTTCTGTGGGGAAACCCTTCCACTGGCTGCAAATGGAGTGAAGAAGAATTCCTGCACAGACACAAGGACAAGGGAAGAGAGGACGGAGGAGAGGGATGATGTTTAGAGACCGAGACATGTGTCAGGCAGTCACTCATTTCATCAACAGGATATCATTTCCCCATTTTGCATATAAAGCAACTGAGGCACAGAAACAGCCAGCAAATGGGATTAGAGGGCATCAAATCCCACCTGCATGATTAGAGGGAGAGAGGAAAGGGAAGGGGGAGTAGACTCACCTGCAGCCACAGAGACGTTCAAGGACTCAAGTCCAGGAGGCAGCTGGCGTCGGGGCAGGATGGTGAGGAGAAGCTGACAGGAGGCCTGCACCTCTTGGGACAGACCTGACCCCTCATTCCCTGCAGGGCATGGGGCCGAGGGTTAGGGTTGCCCAGCTGGACATCCAATTGCTCGGGAAATGTAATCTGGGCACAAAAGCAGGGACATCCACCTACCCAGCACAAGGAGAGTAGGCCGATCCCAGGGGAACTCCAAGCAACTCGTGATGGGGATCTCGGAGGACTGGGGATCCTTTGCCCTTGGGCAGCCCACTGTGCCGGCCACGAGCCAGCCCTGCTGGGCTTTGGTCTGAAAGGGGGAAGAAGACATGTTCTAATTATTCTTTTATTTTAATTTTGAGATAGGGTCTTACTCCTGCTTAGGCTGGAGTGCAGTGGCACGATCACAGCTCACTGCAGCCTCAACCTCCGGGGCTCTGGTGATCCTCCCACCTCAGCCTCCCAAGTAGCTGGGACTATAAGCACTTGCCACATCACCCGGTTAGAAAACAAATTTTTGCAATTTTTTTTTGAGATGGCGTTTCACCACGTTACCCAGGTTGGTCTGGAACTCCTGGCTTCAAGCGATCCTCCCGCCTTGGCCTCCCAGAGTGCTAGGATTACAGGCATCAGCCACCACGCCTGGCTCTCATATTCTAATTCATCAAATCTTCATCAGAGGCCGTACGCGGTGGCTCAAGCCTGTAATTCTAGCACTTTGGGAGGCTGAAACAGGCAGATTACCTGAGGTCAGGAGTTCAAGACTAGCCTGGCCCAGGCACAGTGGCTCACGCCTGTAATCCCAGCACTTTGGGAGGCCAAGTAGGAGGATCACCTGAGGTTGGGAGTTCAAGACCAGCCTAACCAACATGGAGAAACCCGTCTCTACTAAAAATACAAAATTAGCCAGGTGTGGTGGTGCATGCCTGTAATCCCAGCTACTTGGGAGGCTGAGGCAGGAGAATCGCTTGAACTCGGGAGGCAGAGGCTGCAGTGAACTGAGACTGCGCCATTGCACTCAAGCCTGGGCAACAAGAGTGAAACTCCATCTCAGAAAAAAAAAGAAAAAGCCAGGTGCAGTAGCTCACACCTGTAATCCCAGCACTTTGGGAGGCTGAGGCAGGTGGATCACCTGAGGTCAGGAGTTTGAGACCACCCTGGCTAACATGGTGAAATCCCGTCTCTACTAAAAACACAAAAAAACTAGCTGGGCATGGTGGCACATGTCTGTAATCCCAGCTACCTGGGAGCCTGAGGAAGGAGAATCGCTTGAACCCATGAGGCGGAGGTTGCAGGGAGCTGAGATCACGCCATTGCCTCCAGCCTGGGCAACATGGTGAAACACTGTCTCTACTAAAAATACAAACATCAGTCTGGCCTGGTGGCAGGCACCTGTAATCCCTGCTACTCAGGAGGGATTCTCTTGAGACTAGGATGTGAGAATCTCCTGAGACCAGGAGGTGGAGGTTGCAGTGAGCCGAGATTGTGCCACGGCACTCCTGCTTGGGTGACACAGTGAGACCCCATATCAAAAAAAGAAAAAAAAATTCTTCATCAGAGCCCTGGCCAAGGAGGAGCCCAGCCTTGCCCATACATTCATTTATTTGCTGATCCAGTCAATTAGTCAATAGATATTAAGCATCTAGCATGGGCTCTGTTCTAGGCACTGGGGACAGGGCAGTGAACAAAACAAAACAGACCAAAATCCCAGCCTTGTGGAAGGGCAGGTGGGGACGGACTCACTGAGGTGACATTTCAGTGCAGACCTGAAGGAGAAGGAGGAGCACCGTGCAGGCATCTGGGGCAAGAGCACTCTAGGCAGAGAGACCAGCAAGCACAGAGGCGGGTGCCTCGCTGGCATGTTTGAGAACAGTAAGATGGCCGTCAAGACAGAAGAGGGAACAACAGCCACATGAGGTAGGGTCTCCAGGGCTACTGGAAGGACTTTGACTTTGAATCTGAGCGGTACAGAGGCTTTGAAAGGTTTTGAGCAGAGAAGTAACATGGTCTCACTTCAACAGAATCACTCTGCCTGCTGTGCTGAGCGCCAAGAGCAGAAGCAAAGAGGCCAGGTGGGAAGTTTCTGCAATAATGGTCAACAGATGATGGTGACTTGCTTGGGTCAGAGTGGTAGCAGTGGAAATAGGGAGAAAGGGTGATAATATGGAAATAACTTCAGTTAAGGATGAAGCCAAGGCTTTTGACCTAAACAATCAAAGGGATGGGGTTGCTCCAGAAGGAACAGGTGCTCAGCTTTAGAAATGTTAGGTTTGAAATGCCCACCTGACAGCAAAACAACAACTGTGGAGTAGGCGACTAGATGAGTGAATCTGGAATTCAGAACCAAGGTCCAGGCTAGAGTATACACTTGGGGGGAAATTTGAATTCAGATAGTATTTAAAGCCATGAGACTAGATGAGACCAAAAAGAAATGAACCTATACAGAAAAGAGATCCAGGACCAGGTGAGGTGGCTCGAGCGTGCTTACCGCCTGTAATCCCAACACTTTGGGAGGGCTAAGGCAGAGGACTGTTTGAAGCCAGGAGTTTGGAGAACAGCCTGGGCAACAAGTGAAATTCATCTCTACCAAAAAAAAAAAAAAAAAGAAAGAAAGAAAAGAAG